ATTGATCTCCTTCCATTTGGTGATTTGTCTCTTGCTATTCGTACTGTTCTATTTTCTGTCATTCTTTCTATGTGTTGATTCCATTCTATTCTATTTTAGTTCAAAAAGCGTAATAATAAAATCTAACGTGCTCTGCCATGACATTCTGGTACAGAAACAAGAGAATGACCTGAAACGAATTAGTGCAAACGACAATACCATTAAAGGTCGTAAGTTAGCTTTCAAATTTTCAAACTACTTTTTATTAATAAGTAATCTACTAAAAATACTAGTTAAAGAACTCATCCTTATCACGAGAAGTTTCCAAAAACTAGATCATTTTAATTAATATTGCTGTGTGGCAAGCATTTATAAGAAAGAGATACATCCCTGGAAATATTGGTGAGACAAACACCACAATCTGCACCATTTTCAGCCATTTTAAATTTACTACCAAACAAAACTGTCAAGCTGTGTCAACGTCAAGACCGATAAGAGCAGCAGTTCAACTGTGGCTTCAAGCTATACTGAGTGCTGCTGCTGCTGAGTTAATATACAGGTTGTTCCTTAATGATGTGCGAATATTTAAGGGTATGAATCTAAATGAAAAATTAATGTTAGTTGGCTTTATACACTATGGTCCAAAAATGTTTCCTTATAAAAACTCGGGGTGTTGAAGTTTTAGGAGAAAAATGGAAATTAATTAATATTTTCAGAACTGCTTCAGATATTCCACTGATATTTAGTACGTAGTGAAAGTTAATAAAATAGCATATTTTTTCCATGCAAAAATAGTTTTTAGCTTTAACAGTGGCGTGCGTACTGGTATTGACTTCATTGTACGCCAATGGTTTTTTGCCAAAATATAAATTATTTTTGAATTCCCCGTTCAATTTAAAACAAACGATCTCTCTTGAATTGTTTTCCTTCGATGCGCCATTTTTGAATGAAAGTAATAAAAACCGTTCTATTGTCTACCTTGCAAAATTATTATTAATTTAATTGGAAAAATTAAACACATTAGGGGTAATGAACAACAACAACTGACAATATAAAGATAACATTAAAACAAACGAAATGATGACACTTAGTATGCATGCTTCCGTTCTCCTTCTCATGGAATTGCACACTCGTTGAAATATCCCTGGAGTGTTTTTTATTCTATCACAAGCTGCACCTATTCTTTCTCTGAATTCCTCTACAGTGTTAATGGGACTTGTTTTCACTAGTGTCTTAAGATAGCCCCACAAAAAGGAATCATTACTGTTGAGGTCTGGGGACCTTGGCTGCCATTCTTGGGGCCCACCGCGGCCAATCCAACGATTTGGATAAACAGTTTATAAATAATTGCAAACCGCTACACTGAAATGCGCTGGCGCACCATCATGCATGTACCACATATTGTTTCTTATTACTAACGGAACATCATCAAGCAGCAAAGGCAACTGTTGTTGAAGAAAATTGAGGTAAGTCTGTCCGTTAAGTCGTTCCGGCAAGAAGAATGGGCCAATAAAGTGGTTGCCAATAATTCCTGCCCATACGTTAACCGAAAATTGGTGTTAGAATTGGGTTTCGGTTACGGCATAGGGATTTTCTTCTGCCCACAAATGATAATTGTGGAAATTCTGAATGGCATTTCGAGAAAAATTAGCTTGGTCCGTGAACAGAATCATTGGTTCAAATTGCGGATTTTGTGTAATTTTTTGAAGATACCACTGATAAAAGGTCACGCGCCTTGGAAAATCAATGGAAACTAATGCCTGTGCTCTTAAAATATGGTAAGGATATAACAAAAAGTCCACTAAAATTCTCCAAACAATTTGATGGCAAATATTTAAGTGCCTAGCAATCTTTCTCGTACTCGTTTCAGGATGTTCTTCGACTTCGTGCAGCACTGCTTCCTCAATTTCAAGTGTTTTCACACTTAGCGGTGTACCTTCAGATGTTCCTTTTCGGACCAGACCAGTTTCAACAAGACGACGATGAATATTAGAAAAGGTTCGACTATCTAGCAAAGCACGATCGGGATATCTCTGTTGATGAATCCGTCTGGCTTGCTCACCATTACCGTCGGCAAGGCCATTATACGTAATGCATTTCCGCCATTCCTGCATTTGAATAATTCACCATTACTAACAAGATTGTAAAGACTGAATAATGAAAAAGATGTCACAGCGAACAGATTTGAATAACAACGACTTGTCAGATGTCAAAAGATAGTGACATATTTCAGAGCAACTAGATATTTATTGCTAAATTGCTTTCTTCAATTATTACATTAATTTTCTCGGACAATAGAACGGTTTTTAGTTTTTTACTCAAAAATGGCGCATCGAAGGAAAACAATTCGAGAGAGATCATTTGTTTTAACGGGGAATTCATGAACAATAGGCGTACCATTTTTTTTCTTAAAAAATATCGAAGTAAATACCCGTACAGACGCATATGCAACTTTATCAACTTTCACTACGTACTAAATATCAGTGAAATACCTGAAGCGGTTCTGAACATGTTGATTAATTTCCATTTTTTTCCTGAAACTTCAACATCCCGAGTTTTTGTAAGGAAACATTCTTGGACCATGGTTTATGAAGAAAACTAACATTAATTTTTCATGTTGATTCACACCCTTAAATATTCGCATATCATTAAGGAACACACTGTATATGCATGATGCCGAAAAAAAAAAGTTAAAGACCAGATCTCAACGGAAAAACCAGATACAATGGAAATTTGCTTTGATAGAAACTTGGACACCCAGAAGATTCTAGGAGAAAATAAACCCTTAAAGCAGATAGAAGAAAAGGATAACCTAATACTCCAATTGATCAATGAAAATGGAAGAGTGTACGAACAGTACAACTTAGTGACATCAGCCATACACGAAAAAGATACTGTGGTAACAGTAGCCTTCTACCACTTACGTGTCAGGATGGAATGATTGTTTCCGACTCAAAGGCCATGGCGGAGGAGCTTGCCAAGATCTTTGCTGCCAACTCCACCATATACGTCCCCCCAACGCCCAAGTGCCGTCAATTCAAAGGGTTCCCTACACTATACGGAAGGTAACATTCAGGCATAAGACCGTAAGAAGAGTGCTCTTCTCGCTCGACATCAACAAAGCTTCTGGCCTGGACTTGATTCCTGTCATTGTACTGAAGAGGTGTGCAGCGGAGCTTGCTCCAGTTCTTTCGCGTCTCTTCCAGATATCTTATGAATCCGGCACCTTCCCGGAAACTGGAAATTTGCTCATGTCCAACCCATCCCAAAAAAAAGGATCTGAGACCAACCCTTACAACTACGGGCCTATAGCTCTGATTTCTGTTATAAGTAAAGTGATGGAGAGGTGCATAAATCGCGAGCTTCTGGACTACCTCGAACGTCACAGGTTGATTGACGACAGGCATTATGGTTTCCGGCATCAACGATCCACCTCCTAGCCTACCTCACGCAGTTGTGGAGTAAACTCATCCAGTCCTATGGTGAGGCTCATATCGTTGCTCTTCTGCCCTCTTAAGCAAACTTCCATCCTATTGCCTCCCAGAAAAGCTTTGGAGGTGGGTAGCTGACTTTATCTCTGGCCGCAGGATATCCGTCGTAATTGACGGGTTCTCCTCTTTATCCCGCAACGTCAACGCGGGTGTTCCCCAGGGATCGGACTTGGCTTCGATACTGTTCCTCTTACATATCAACGACCTCCTTTCCTGCACGATCAACCCAATCCACAGCTGGTAACAGCACTCTACATGCAGGAATTCAGAGTGACAAACCGATCTCTGCCGCTGAGCTGGAAAAAAGAAGACTAGCGACGACTTCCTATCTGACAAGAGACCTGGAAGCTATCACTGCTTGAGGACGCAACAATCTTGTATAGTTTAATGCTTCCAAAACACAGTACTTTACTTTGACGAACAAAAATGGACGAGTTCTGCCAAAGAGCCATTCATTTCGGCTGGTCGGAGTCCAGATCGGGCACGAACACATCTCGTCAATAGCGGCAGCTGCTGGGAAAAAGCTACGCTATTTGTTTATTGCTAAGAAGTACTTTTCTCCGCATGACCTCCTCACTCTACACAAGTCCCAGATAAGGCATAGCCTCGAGTATTGCTCACACGTTTGGGGTGCTGCCGCCACGACTACACAATTTATGCTCGATGCTGTCCAGAGGAGGGCGGTCCGACTTATCGATGACTCTTCTCTAACAGACAGTTTCGAGACTTTTTCGCACTGGCGGGCCGTCGGCGATCTAGTTCTTTTCTACCGCTACACCAATGGGCTTTGCTCCTAACCGTGTCGAACTTCGTACATCCAGAACTGGCCGATACGACCACTCCTTTGTCCCGAGGATGTCAAGATTGTGGAACAATCTGCAAGACTAACCTTTAGCAGTTCAACTAACCTTAGGCAGTTCAAAAATCGTATTAACAAAATTTCTTTGGGATCATCGTAGCCGCCGTCGTCTTCTGCCTGCGCGGCTGCTTCGATATAAAAAAAAATGTATCTACTCAGTTCATGTTCCCTGCATTTTAGGTAAATAAATATTACTATTACTATTAAAACATGTGTGCGGTCCTAATAAGAAGCTATTTGATTTTCTAGATATTTGAAGCACAAGATATGGATATCTGCTCAGGTGCATAGTAACTGGTAAAAATGACGAAGATTGCATTCTGCTATGATAGGTGCATAGCCGACGGAACGATTTTAATAGCCTTTCTGATTCTTCTAAGTGGTTCAATCAGTAAACAAAAATCAATTTGACAATCTTGCAAATAAGGCTTTGAGTCGCTACATTCTAAATTTATCGATAAACTCTATCCTTCGATTGCGGCCATCCCTGATGTCACAAAAGTTTTTTTAATGGAGAAAGTTAGTGATATAACACTCGTAGAATATCAATATTATGCTAAATTTAATCAAATAAATGCGGATGATTATATAAAAGCCTTCTCCCACGCGCCGGAAGGTAAAAATAAACACAGTACATATTTGCGTCAACATATCACCAAACAATACCACCCAAATATAATACCTTGGCCTTAACAAAAGCTGTCTATCATAAGCTCGGTAACGTCGCTAAAGAATGGTTGGTCTATTTTCTTCTCAGGCTGCCTGTATTAAAAGTTCAGGTTGGAATGACAGTTCGTCAGTAGCAGAAAGCGCACAGTGAGTTCATCTACAATGTAAACATGGATTTCATTTTTCTTTTCAGGACACGTAACTGAACATGAAATGTACACCGATAAAGCTACTGAGCAGGGCCGAGTATGTGAGAAAGACGGAGATGAAAAAGCAGAACGTCGACCAAATCTTTATAACAAAGGAATGTAATGGGTAAGAATCTTGATGAATCTGATTTGAGTAATGATTATTTCCTTGACACTTCCTACACACTCCAGGTAGACTACAGCAAACAAATGAGGTTTGCTAAAATTAAAGAACGGAAGCAACAATATGGAAAAAAGGGACTAAAATACACTGATTCAAATGTACTTTAATGCATGTTTATTGCTTGTGGTCAGAGCTTGCCAGAAACTCTTTAGGCTATTACTTCTTTCTTTTTGTTATATACTTAAGCAGCCGCGCAGGCAGAAGCCTAAACGCCAGGACGCCGCGGCTGCTATGAGGATCTCAAAGAAATTTTGTTAATTCGATTTTTGAACTGCCTAAGGTTAATAGAACTGGCGAAACTCTCCTCACGTAGATTGTTTCACAATCTCGGTAACATAGTTATAAAAAAACGGTCGTATCAGCGAGTTCTGGATGTAAGAAGTTCGACAGGGTAAGGATGGAAGGCTGAAAGCCAGGACCGTCTCTGAGTAGCAAAGCCTGGTACGTAGCGGTAGAAGAGAGGTAGATCGCCAACAGCCCTTTGGTGCGAAAGGGTCCTGAGACTGTCCGTTAGAGAAGAATCATCGATCAGTCGGACAGCCCTTCTCTGAACATCATCGAGCATGGATAATGTAGTCAGGGAGGCAACACCCAAACTTGTGAGCAATACTCGAGGCTAGGTCTTATCTGAGCACTGTATCGAGTGAGAAGATCATGTGGAGAGAAGTACGCTTTAGCCCTAAACAAATAGCCTAGCTTTTGCCCAGAAGCTGCCACTTTTGACGAGATGTGTTCGTGCCAGATCAAGTCCTAGTTGAGTTGTACTCCGACCAGCCGAAATGAACGGGTCTTTGGCAGAACTCGGTCATCAATCGAAACCGGATGAGCGCTAGGACGCTTGTTGTTTGTCAGGGTACAGTACGGTGTTTTGAGAGCATTAAATTGTACAAGGTTGTCGCGTCTTCAAGCCTCCAGGTTTCTCGTCAGAGAGGAAGTCCCTGCTAGTCTTGTTTTTTCCAGCTCACCGGCAGAGGTCAGCTTGTCGCTCTGAATTCCTGCATGTAGAGTGCTGTCATCAGCAAAGCTGTGGATTGGGTTGATCGTACAGGAAAGGAGCCCGTTGATATGTAACAGGAACAGTGTCAAGTCCGATTCCTGGAGAACACCCTCGTTGATTTTGTGAGATGAAGAGGAGAACCCGTTAATTACAACGTATATCTTGCGGCCGGAGAGAGTCAGCCACCCATCTGCAAAGCTTCTCTGGGAGAACATAGGATGGAACCTTGCATAAGAGGCAGCGTGCCACAGCTCATCACACGCTTTCGTGATGTGAAGAGCAACGGCACGAGCCTCACCATAAGACTGGATGAGTTTACTCCACAACTACGTGGCGTAAGCTAGGAGGCCCCTTGTGGACTACTGATGCCGGAAACCATACTGCTGTCGTTAATCAAGCCGTGACGTTCGAGATAGTCCAGAAGCTCGCGATTTATGTACCTCTCTAGCACATTACTTATAACAGAGAGCAGAGCTACAGGCCCGTAGTTGTAAGTGTTGGTCTTAGATCCATTTCTGGAATAGGTTGGAATGGGCACATTTCCAGTTTTCTGGAAAGGTGCCGGATTCGGAAGATATCTGGAAGAGACGCGAAAGTACTGGAGTAAGCTGCACATCTCTTCAATACAACGGCAGTACGGACCGGAAGATTTGAATCGACGGTACTTGGACTTTGGGGAGAACGTCCGACACGTTGTTGGCAGCAAAAATCTTGGCAAGCACTTCCGCATTTTCAGTTATTCCATGTTATTCAGAAATTATTTAAATCGCAAAATATTTTTAAAGACCTATAGCAAGCAGTTAATGCGCGCATTATAAACATCAGATTTGCTTTTTACTTGTTTCCTGTCTACCATTAATATAATTTGACAATATTTAATAAACAGCTGTAATGCAACTAAGGTCGGAAAATCTACAAGATGGGTTACCTCCAGATTTTGGGAACAGCTAGAGTTACAATGTTGTTTGATGAAAAAAAGTTGAGATACCTTGCACCCGAAGTTTTCAGATTCAAAATCATCTGAAGGAACTAATTTAACGATATCAGGAGATGACAAACTAGCTTCATTTAAAGAATATCGAAAAGACCTAAATCTGTTCATGTAAAATGTTATTCAACTATGCAACATGTACTAACTTTGTAACTTCATAATCATTGTCGAGATCCAGAGATATCCCATTAATATTTTGAATATCCTGTAGATATTTTCTGATCCACATCTGACCTTTGCTGAATTATAATTTTCATTTCAATATGAACCACTATTTTAGTTCAGTTTCTTTACTAAAATGTTTTGCAGTTGGACATGTGCGTTTAATGATGCCACAACTGTCATATGATTATTTCAGATATACGGTATCATTTACAAAAGGCTTGTTCCAAAAGCCTAGCCGACCATCTAGCCTTTCTGTCAAAACTATTAGCCTTCCCGATGGTCTACAAGCCTACAATGGTGGTTATTCTCTGGAAAAGTGGTCCAAGAAAAGGCCAAGGCTGAGATCTGGAAAACTGGAACAGAAATACTTAGAATATGATTACGATAATACCTGTGATGTCATGGATTTCATTGACAGTTGGGATGACACTGAAGATAACTCAGAATTGCTACTTGCCGATCCATCTCATATAGGTTTGTTCTCTGTTGATACTCTTTTTAGCGTATTAGATCAACGACGTGGCAGATCATTTTAGTCAATGCATGCGACGGTTAGATTTCTAAAAAATCGGAGATTATACGTATCCCATAAGCTCTGTAGCCAATATGTAATAACTTTCTAACGTCTTATTTCTGACCCAGAGAGATGAAAGGTAGAAAATTAAGAGAATTCGACAGAAATAAAGTTGGGTCTACAGTTCTTGAACAACGGTTCCCACATGAGCAAGCGATTCGATAACTAATTTCCAAGATTGAATAGTTGAGGTCTGACAGTTTTCCTATGATAGTGGATGGAACTATAGGAAAGTGAGGAGAGTATGGAGAGGTACCGCATTCCCTTAATCAATTGAGCTGAAGTTTTATACACACGTTTGGTTTGCGTGACAATATAAAACTGCCGCCATTTCAAGTTCAATATGCCCTATGCCAAAATGGCGATTAATATCATTTTTCATAGTGACCCCCATGAATGGGGTTGATGAAAAAAACAATAAGTTCGTTGACGTCATTCTAAAACCAATATGGAAATTACGAATGAAAGCGTGTTTTGTTTTTGATAGTAGGGTAGAAAACGCCCTTTTAACATTTCCAATCGAAAATTATTACTTTTAAATTCTTAGCTGATTTTATTAACAGCTAAATAAAACCTGGTTTTGAAAATGTATCTTTTATTTTATTATTATTGCTTCTAACGAAAGTTAAGCCCAGTTAAGGGCAAGCAACGTTGATCATTTATTTGATCATAAATTTCATAACGCCAGATCAAGTTCACTATTACAGATACATCGCTCGCAGTGCATCAAATAGTTCCCAATGCATTTCTTGGCTAAGACAAAAATCTCGTCTTTCTCAGATTAATCGTCTCAGCTTCCCAAATTGCGAGGTGCTCTCCAAGTTGAGAAAGAACGGGGGGGGGGTTGTGGCTTTTGTCCGCAGCAGTCTTTCTTGCTCCAGATACGTTTCCTTGTAATCAAACCGGAAGGACATTCTGTGGCTTCGTCTCAACTCTAAAACAACCCCCAAATTTATTTGCTGCCTTTATCTGTCTATCGGACCACAACTGGGATGACCTACTTAAATACCTCGCTGGCAAGATCGACTTCCTGAACAGCAATCACCCCGTTTGAGAGATAGTTTTCCTCGGTGATTCTAATGCCCATAATGAACTTTGGTTGGGCTCAAACAAGACCGATGTAGCAGTTCGATAGCCGAAATTATCCATGTCGGGATGGAGGAATACATCCTCCATACAGTAAAAGCGCCTAAGCCAGGGTCTAACAGCTGAGTAATAAATCGTGTGACACTGCTCGCCAGCAGCAGACCAAGGCACACAGAACCTTACAAAACCCCACTGTAGAGAACATGCAAGCCGACGTCGAGTGCAGAAACAAATATAACGAATGCCAAACACCAGCACGATACAAATGCTAGGCATAGGGTAATGTCGCAGCGTAATGGCAGTCTACCTTTCTAACGATGGCCAAGCAGATTGAAAAGAACCTCTCACATAGTCTTCCACTTACGTGTCAGGATGGAACGATTGTAACCGACTCAAAGGCTAAGGCGGAAGTGCTTGTTAAGATCTGCTGCTGCTGCTGCCAACTTCAACATGGATGTCCCCCCAAGCGCCCAAGTGCCGTCGATTTAAAGGGTTCCCTACACTATGCGGGAAGTAACATTCAGGTATAAGACCGTAACATTCCTGTCGTTGTACTGAAGTGGTGTGCAGCGGAGCTTGCTCCAGTTCTTTTGCCTGTCTTCCAGACAACTTATATCAAAAAAAGAATCTAAGACCAACCCCTACAACGACAAGCCTATAGCTCTGCTTGATTAGCGATAGGCAGTATGGTTTCTGGCACTAGCGATCCACAGGGGACTTCTTTCTTTACGTCACGCAATTATGGAGTAAACTCATCCAGTATTATGGTGAGGCTCATTTCATTGCTCTTGATATCACGAAAGCATGTGATCATCTGTGGCACCCTACCAGTGGCGACGCGTGACTTCTTTTAAGCTGTTACCAAAACCAGATGCGAAAAATCTTATTAAAAAAGGTTTATTTTTCCCCTCCCAGATATATTTTTGCTTATTTTAGGTATTGTATATAATCTTTTTTCAATCAAGGTAAAAATTGCTGGAATGGGCGCCTGGGGTACTTGATATACCTCATCGTCTTATGCTAAGACTAATCCAAGCCTTCTGAAAAACTTGCTTTGCCCAACTAAATCAAATTGGCTACACATCTCACATGTAAAGGAGAAATTTCATGTCCCCTCTTTAGAACCCAAAAACTATTTAAATCGTTACTGATCCACCCATTTTCTGTACAAAACAGAAAACATGGCCACCAATACAATCTATTTTTCTTGCAACCCCATAACCAAGAGTTTTCAATATACCAACTAAATTTAACATATCGAACTACCTTTTTTGATTCCTTTTTAAAATTATCTAAAATAAGTGTTGGTATTCCATTTTCAATGATCTCTTTTTTTTCTTCAAAATTATACAAGGAGAATGACTTTTCAAGTAGTTAATCGATTACGTAGCGACACTCATCCATGTTTAATTGCACGCACACTACAGCCGGCAACCAAAACGATTACTAACGAGGATCGAGGGAGAAGTGAGTAACCAAAACAAAAAATGGTAACAAGTCCACCTAATAATCGCGGCAGCCCAAGCACTTGGGCGACCGCGATCAGACACGAGCCGATACCGACGGTCCCCGACGGACTACCAAGTGTATCCGTAAATGAAAATGGTAACAACCGACAACCAAGCCGAGGCTTCATCGCGTTTGCAAAATCTAGTCAGTACTATAGAGCGCATTATTTTCGTGGGGTAATCTGCTATTTACTAAATTACTAGTACATATTGCTGTTGGTAAACAAATAATGATATTATTTCACAGTACTTGGTCATAAATTATTTAGTTTTAAGATTTTTTACTGTTACCAATGGTAAGAATGGTTACATGGACGCTTCGCCACTGCACGCTGCCCTCTTATGCAAACTTCCATCCTATGTCCTCCCACAGAAGCTTTCCAGATGGGAATTTCCCTCTGACCGCAGGATATATGACGGGTTCTCTTCTTCATCCTACAACGTCAACGCGAGTGTTCCTCAGAGATCGGTCTTGGCTCCGACACTACTCCTCTTACATATCAACGACCACCTTTCTTGTACCCAGTCCACATCTTTACTGATGACAGCGGTCTATATGCAGGAAGGCAGAGCGACAAGCCGATCTCTGCCGCTGAGCTGGAAAAAAATCGTCTCTGAAGAGAGACCTGGAGGTTGCCACTGTTTGGGTCGCAAATAATCTTATACAGCTTAATGCTTCCAAAACACAGTACTGTACCTCGACAAACAAAAAGCTTCCTAGTGCTCATCAGGTTTCGATGGATGGCCGAGTTCTGCCAAAGAGTCGTTCATTTCGGTTGATCGAAGTCCAGAGCACCGAGGACTTGATCTAGCACGAAAACATCTCGTCAGTAGCGGCAGCTGCTTGGAAAGACTGGGCTACTTGTTTAGGGCTAAGAAGTACTTTTCTCCGCATGACCTCCTCACTCTATACAAGACCCAGATAAGGCCTAGAGTATTGCTCGCACGTTTGGGGTGCTGCCGCCCCGACCACATTATTTATGCTGAGGAGGGCTATCTGACTGATCGATGGCTGACAGACAGTCTCGGGACTCTTTCACACCGGCTAGCTCTCTTCTACCGCTACACCAATGGGCTTTGCTCCTTGATGCCACCGCGCGATGTGCCCGCCAGAAAGACCCGCCTGACTTTGGGTTCCCATCCTAACCGTGACGAACTTCGTACATCCAGAACTGGGCGATACGACTGCTCCTTTGTCCTGAGGGGGTCATGATTGTGGAAGAACCTTCAAGAGGCCGCTTTTCCTAGTTCTACTAACCTTAAGCAGAAGGGCTGTCCAAGTGATCGATGACTTCTCTAACGGACAGTCTCAGGACCCTTTCGTACCAAAGGGTCGTCGGCGATCTAGCCTCTCTTCTACTGCTATGCCAACAGGTTTTGCTCCTCAGAAACGGACAGGCCTAACTTCAGCCTCCCATCCTAGCCCAGCCAGATTTCAGGGTTATTCCACGTACCACGTGAGGACCTATTATATCTATTAGTTAATTGTACGGTTTTGCTATAAGACAAGAAAAATCTTTGCACAAGATATATTCAGATATTTATTTTTCTCTCATATTTCAGATGATGACTACGAGATCAGTTCCGACGTAGAAGAATTGATTAGAAACTCTAGAAGCAGTGAGAGTAACACATATAGCATTGAACCTGAATTAAGAAAAGGAGAAACAAGAAAGAAACAGAAGAAATCCAGAAAGATGATAAGGTTTTCTTTCTCTAAACCTGTCAGTCCAGAAACGGAACAAATAATCCGAGTCGATGTTACTTCCAACATATCTGTGGATGATCTGAGAAAAGCTGACCTATTCAATAGTAAGTAGATTAATTAACAAATATCGTTTCTAAAATAAAATTCTGTAGAGCGTGCATCAGCAGATTTACTCTTTTTATAATTTTTTAAGTCAGCAAATCTCAGTATTTTCACTGATTTACAGCTATGCAGTGCTTTTCAAGGTATCCCTTACCTAATTTTTGACTGGATCAAGCTAGCAAGCTGAAACTTGGAGTGATGAGTATTTGTTACAGCGTTTGTCAGGGAAACGAAATATATCGATTTCAATGTTTAGGAGCGCAAATTGGATATATGTATAGATCCAATTTAAAAAAGTATATTTTTCACATTTAATACGAATCGGTGAAAGCACTCTACGTCAGACAAATTGTGAACAAAGAAACTTCATCCGTATGTCACTCGTGGACAAAAGTTGTCTTCTTTATATGTATATTTCTAAAACAATTCTAATCAACATAAAGACGTTTTCTCGTTTCATTGAAATGGAGGTTGAATTCCAGAAGCAGATTCCAAGAAGCAGAAATCACAAATTTGCAGAAAATTGGCATATTGATGGTTTGTATTTTTTGCCTTAGATTTCTGCTCTACTGCGCTGAAAAAGTCAAGACTCATATTATTAAGTACATTGTTCAGTGCATCTGATATAATGATAGTCATAGAAGAAAAGAATAAGTAATACACTTACATAATCTTTCTTTCCAGAAGTCATTTAAGACTAAGCTCATGTTTCATAACCTCTGAATAATGTCATCTAATATCGTATTCTGTCTTACAATCAAACAACTAAAGCAAGACGACAAAATCTGCAAAGTAAAATTTCATTTAAGCTAGTATCAGTGATGTTTACATGTTTAAAAGTTTAAGAGGTCATGCTTTTGTTATCTGCTGTTTAGTAATGGCCAGAACAAATTAATATGGGTCAAACATGGCGGACATCGTTTTCGTCTCATGCTGGTTCCACACGATGCTTCCCACGTTGTTAACAACGTTGTATACAACGTTCGTCGGCACCCCACAATTGGCAAGTGTGTCTCCTACACGATGGGATGAACTTTTTAGTCTTGGACGTTCGACGCATGGTGGTGCCAACGTCTATTATCGGTGTCAGTGTCGCGCTTGAACCTTTACAACTGAAGGAAAAATTATACAAAACAATTCTGTCGAGCGCCAAAAAATAATTTCAGTTCTGTCCTCAGCGACCAAAGCTTAAGTCTGTCAGAAGCCTCAAAAATGACGAAAAACGAAGTTTGACCGTTTTTTGTTTGTTTTTCGACGATAGCTCCAACGCCACTGTACCGATTTTCAAAAACTGCAGTTTTTTTTTCGCCATTTTCATAGTACTAACCTAAGGTCAAAATTTCATCAAAATCCTGATAGTACTTTCACAGTTATCATTTATTTAAGCTTTAGACATGCATTGCAACAGGACATTATAATGAAACAACTGTAAGCACTTGATAATTTATAATTTACTAAAATACATATCCTTAGGCCAACCATAACTCACCTGCGAAACGTACAAGATATTAGCAATATGAAAAAAGTGTTGTTGTGGCAGCCGATGCCTTGTATGTATACTAATTTAATCCATTCTCCTCAAAAGTTAGTTACCGAACATACATTATTATTACCTATTAGGTAGGTATTCAAATCAAACTTCCCACATACCACTACTTCACCACAATCACAACAAACAAATAAATAATGTTTGTCGCCGCTATTGGTTCTAACTTAAAACCATCAAAAACATGGCATCTCGTGTGGGAGCGTAACGAACCATGCTTCCAACGTTGTAAGGTCCTTTGACGCGGGTCAGATTTACCGACAAGAGCCCGAATGGCCAAGTGTCCAACGTTGTAAGACATTCGCCACATCGTGTGGGAACGGTTTATGCAAAATATATAATATGTATATTATATAAGTTTTACGGTCCTTTAGGTCTGAAAAAATATAGTATCAATGTTTTTGGTTTAATACTACATTCAATGTATGAAAACGCTCAGATTTGACAATCTCTGAGTTTGTCATTTTGAAGTATAGTGATTTTATATCCAAGGGTTATAAGGTATTCATGATAGGCTTCAAAATGAGGTATCATATGACCTCCATGGTATTTGAACGAATGTGCTAAGATGGGGCTCAGCCTCCATATTGAATTATTAAGTTGGCACTTCTGAAGTATTATTTTATTCATGCACTAATTTCATCACTCCGAATTCCAGCGTCCTACCTTGACTGGTTCAGAAAATAAGTAGTGATAAGTAATGTATGATATTATATATGCGTCTTTGTCGATAATTGTAGTAATCCTCTATTATACAGATGTATCGCCGAAGATGCCGATAAAATCGGATAAGAAAATCGAATCAATAAAGTCCAAACCACCAAACATGGCCACGATAATTTGTGATTTTAATAAAATGCTTTTCTTCAACTATTTCGATCGTCTTAATTTCTACCAACCACAAACGCGCAATGTTGAACTACAAATGGTTCCTAGATGGAAAAAATGTATGACAGCACCTGACAGAAGTTTTTTACAGCTTACTAAAAATTACAATATCTTGATAACAAGTAATTGTGGTCTCCTAGGACACCAGAAAACGACGCTTAACAATTTTTCTGATTTTATTGTCAATAAATTTTGGAATATTGTTTTTAAACAGTGCTAGTCAGCTTATGTAGTGAAATTGCATGAATTGCATTAGTGATGAAATAGTCTTGTCAAACGCTATTCGGGCATCTAGCTTTTCCTGTAAAAAAAATCGAAAAAACACAATGCAAAGTAATATTTTTTTAATATAAAACATTCGTGCATGTGCCTTCGACTCGGATTTTTCTTGCCACCAGCGCTCATGCTTCTTGTTAAAATATCGCTTAGCAACGTGTTTTTTTTTCGATTTTTTTTCGACAATACGTCTTTACTTGTTACATTTCATCAACATTTTTAGCTTAAGTATCATTACGATTTGTTTGGAATGACTAATTTTAATCTGAATGTGAGCGGAAAATGGCTTTGGTGATGATGCTTTTAAAATAGTTAAATCATCAATGGTAGTGATATTCCTAGAGCTTCCTAACTGTTTGGAAATCTGAGTGACATATAATTATTTTCGTTTAAGGTTCCAAGAAAAACGATTCAAGGATGGAGTGTGGTAGAGCAAGCGACAAGGACCTATCGACACCTTGAAGTCACGTGTACTTGTCGTCCAAAGCTAATACTTAACTATAAAATTAGTGAAAATATTATGTTGTCGAAGTTGTTCCAGAGTCTGAATGGGGTTGTCAAGGTTTAAATGGTATTGCAATAATGCGAAAACAACAACAAAACAAAAATAGATGTTGAGAAAAATCTCAAAATATGGGCATTTTACAGATCGATTTAAGGTTTTTGAGAGGGGGACGTGTCGTCTAAGCTGCGATTGAGCTCTGCACTCAAATCAATTCCAGTTCACAGGCTTTGGAACGCATTTATGAATCGTTCCATCTCCCCTACTATTTGTATTTATCACGCACTTATGTTTCGGATACTAGATGCTAACTTCCTTGATGTAGCTAAGAACATGGCCTGAATTATGAGGATATAGAAAAAGTTAAATTCATCCTGATCCGGTTACAGCTTAGGGCCGTAGGAAGCCCTTGTGGCCTGTTGATTTTCATAGACTTTTCTCTCTATCAGAAAAGCTGGAGTATCTCTAGATTTCTGCTGTTTCGTGTCAGCGTCAGCGCTCTCCCGTTGTGAGGTTATGTTTTCTTTTTGAATCTACAGAAATTTTAGACTGATATGATAAAGTTTTATCAGCCTGAAATATATTAGAATTCAATAAAAATATAACCTCAAAAGAGAGCGCTGACACGAAAAAGTAGATATCTAGAAATACCCCTGCCTTTCTGACGGAAAGAAAATACTATGAAAATCATGGTGGCCATAAATGCGCCCTACAGTTGAAGGAATGACCGACGATACGGCCCTTAGTAAAGAATATGATCTCATATAATAACTGTGCACTCATAGGTCATCTGAGCATTCGGCTAGCGACCTAGAGTTTTTGGAAGCCAAAGTAGAAAAAACACATCGCCAAATCATAGTTTAAGAGCTCACACCTATTTGGGTAGTCGTTGTATTTGAAAGTTAGATTTTTACTCCCCATGAAAAAACTGGCGACGAAATATTTTAATCATAAAAAAAATGGAAAATGTGATATTGTTTTTTATGGGGTTGGGGGTCGTATGAGATAGAGGGTTGTAAATGTAACGTCTTCAGTATTATTCGGAGACGTTCTATAATTAAGCTTCGGGAAAATTAAATGATAAAAATGTATGTATAATGTGCTCATAATTCGAAATAACTTTTCAATCGTTGGCGCTGCGTGCACAGCGCGTTGCTGCAGCGTCGTGGAGGCTGCTTCCCACTGTGCAATGGGTAACAAACTCCAACTGGTCTGCGGTGGTATCGTCACTGACAAACCGCTACAGGAGTAACAGTTATAAAGGGTGACTTCGAAGTTGAGTCATTTATTTTAACAGTGAGTAGATCTGATCAAAAGAAATGTTTTTTTCCTTTAACATTTTTGTGGTAAAATTAAAGTAACAAAGTTATAGCCCTTGAGAAGTTTGAGTACCGCCCTGTCTCAATAATAATATGTGCTCGTGTTTAGCAACAACGGATATAATCGGAAACAAAAAAGCGAAAGAATTTGAAACGCTTATCACGATGTTTTATTCATTTATTTTATTCAGTTGTATTCATTCGATGTGTCAGGTAACGCGTGAGTGGTGTTTCTGCGTGGCTCAAACGAAATAAAAAATGGCACATGTTTACGAAAATGCTGAACTTGTGGACATGATTCTTATTTTACAAAATGCTGCTACGGCAACACGGATTTATGCGGATCGGTTTCCCAATCGAGTGCAACCAACCCCTAGTGCCTTTGTTAATGTAGTACAAAGGGCTCGTGAATCAGGTGACTTAAGTCCTCACACGGGAGGGTATGTGCTCCAAGACCGCACGATCAAATACTGGTCCGCACTGAAATACTTGTCGGGAGGATATTTTATAAAACAAGGTAACATTTTTTTAAGTTTTTTTTTAATTTTTACACACATATTTTCTTTATCTTCCTTCTACAATCATTATCTGAAAATTAATGACTCAACTTCAAAGTCACCCTGTATATTTTTGCAATATTCGGGTATTAGGAGCGTTTTTCGATGTTTTTGTAAATGACTGTTTTTATATCCACACATATATTTTTCTGAATTTTATGATCCTTGATTTCACCACCAATTTCTTATAACCCTTAATTTGTATTACTATCGTCTATGATGGTTCTCCGAATATTTCGTCAAGTAGATTGACGCATTGGTTTACAACAGACAGGTGCTGACAATCCGACATAAATGGGAAAGGCGGATATGTGTGATGCAGACTTGCAGACATCTTTAAGCAACAAAAAACTTGTAAACCGAAGTTTAAATATTGTCGCGGGCTTAATATTTAATATCTAATATTTAAGAAGTATACAGTCAATCTACTTGACGTCATTTTTTAGAGATAATTGTAAAGTAAGGACTCGACAACCTGACAGGTTGCGGCTGTTGCATTAATTGTTTATTATATTTTTTTAGACCGAAAAAATATTAATTAAACTGGTGGACAGTTGGTTTGCAACATGAAAAATTTTACCCAAATTCAAATCTCGATATTTTCGGAACGGAAAGAGATGTTGAGTTGCGGTATTCGGGCGGTTCTTCACCAACTCTTCGAGAGTACATACATGGTTCAATCGGTATACTTCTCCTAGTCATCCTCTTATACAGGGTGAGCAAGGGAGGTCAGGTTCTCTTAGCAAAGTTTGGGGCTATGTCAAAGTCTCAATCTTTGAACTTGGAAATTTTTCTATGCATCTTTTTGATCTTTGGACTATCCTAACAAAAGTTGTTTAACGAATTTTTCGAAACCTGGCTATAACTCAAATTATCGAATCTTAAAAGAGTGTTATCCCCAAAAAGGGACTTTCTTTGGGTATTGAAAAACTCATTGAACGTTATTGCCTCCAGTAGCATGGAGTAGAAATTTGCTACTTTTATGCTACAATTTATAAATTTTACTGCAATTAAACAGCTTAGTGAACAAATCAAAGTTACTACTCTTAATATAGGGATGTATTCCAGTGGCGTAATACCAACAGCATCTTTTGGTTTGGTAAGAAATGCTAATAACTTAAAAAAACTTATTTTTCAAAATGGATGCTGGCCAAGACTGCTATACATGTTATTAAATTAGAATTTAAAGTTCTTCTGACAGTAATATTTGATGCTGTTATTCCACTGAAATAAACGTCTTTTTTTTGGATTAGCTCCTGCATGCAAGTAGGACGTTTCCTCGGTATCCTGACATCTACGCCTTAAACGGTACGTTGAGGACCGACCAACATTATAAATTAAACATAATATCATTCACTAAGCGGACTTCTCCCAATAACCTTATACAATTCTCTCATTCTTTTTGAAAAAGACGAGGCATTTTTGAGAAAATAATGTTATACTGTCAGTATTATTGTTAGACAGCAATTGCATGTTTGAGGTGTAGGTAGTTAGGATAAAACCAGAAAAACGTCCTATTTGCATGGAGAGGATAAAAAATAGGAGGTCGAAAAGACATTTATTTCGTGAAGTTGAAAATTGGATAATTTGAGTTATAGCGAACTTTCGAAAAATTTAAAACATCACCTTTTTAAGATAGTCCAAAAGTCAAAAGATGCATAGAAAAATTTCCAAGATCAAACATTGAGAATCTGGCATAACCCCAAACATGACTGCCTTTGCTCGCCCTGTATGAGTGAATAAATAAAAAAATATACCGGTCGAACCCAGTACGTATTCTCAAATAGTTGGTCAAGAACCTACCAAATACCGCAACTCGATATCTCTTTCCGTTCCGAAAATATCGAGATTTGAGTTTGGGTAAAGTTTTCCATGCTGCAAAGCAACTGTCCACCAGTTTATTATACAAATTACCAATATTGCATTAAGGCTAATCCGTGCCTGTCGAGCTGAGTTAATTGCATTTTAATGGCCGGCACTAGTAACTTCTAACTAAACTACTATCCTTTAGTTTCTTGGAATTAATAATAATAACAATAATAATAATTTATTGTCATAAGGTTTACAATGGTAAACATAGACAACGTCAACACGAGAATAAATAAACACTTTGATAGCACAATTTCACATTTAAAAGCATTATTGCCTCACGTACACACAAAAAAATTACATCAAAAAAACTATGGACTATTAACATATTCATTCAATGAATAAAATGCCTTATCTAAAAAATAAGCTTTCAATGTTTTGTTTAAGCTATATGAATTAGTGCAGTCTTTTATATGTACGGGCAAAGCATTAAACATTTTTACACCATTATAGTATGGGATTGCTCAGATAATCTGGTCTTAGATGGGGCACACTTAGATTTTTAAAGTATCTAGTGATCATTTTATTTGTAATAATAACTATTTTTCTTGTATTTATCGAGGTTTTGCTTTGTATCAATCCGGAGTAATCTTAGATTTGTAACTTATTCCATACGCGCAGTATGGAAGATCCAGTTGCTTAACCACGAAAAAACGGTTCCTTCGTCAATTATGTTTGTGATTTATTAGCATTGAAATACAGGGTTTGTCCGGAAAGTAATAGGACTGAGTCGATTTAAAAAAAATTATTGAGCCAATCGTTACAATTCTTTAAAAACTTTCAAAATAGGCTCCTTTTGCGTCGATGCAGCGCTGCCAGCGCGATTTCCAAGCATTGAAGGCGTCACGGAAGGCATTCTCCGGAATAACCTTGAGAGCCGCGGTCCATGCTGCTTGGATCCCCTCCGTCGTCTCAAAATGCTTGCCTTTCATCGGCCTTTTCCGGCGAGGAAACAAAAAAAAGTTCGGGGGAGCCAGATCTGGGCTGTAGGGCGGCTGCGGAAGCGTTGGGCACACTTCACACGTTCAAATGCTGTGTCACAATGTCATGAACCACAGATTTTGGTAAATTTAATATCTGGGCAATTAAACGAATACTTAGTCGACGGTCTGAGTTCAAAACTTTGCGCACACGAGTCACATTATCGGTGTTTGTCAAAGTCGAAGGTCTTCCAGCACGGTCTTCATCAGCGACCTCTTACAGGCCCTCCAAAATGGCCTGGTGCCACCGAAACACACCACTTCTTGCTAAAGCAACACCTGGGTAAGCCTGCTTGGCCATATCAAACGTCTCTGTCGCAGATTTACCGATTTTTACACAGAATTTAATCGCGTACCTCTGCTTTAACGAACGCTGCATTTTCGGCTTGCACCACTCACAGAAACACGTCGCGAGAAAATGCCTGTCCTGACTCTTCAAGTGCTCGGAGACAACTGACGAGCCGCTCATTCTTTAGCTAGGAACGCCCTCTACCGAATCCAGTCGGTGCGCGCACGCTCCGAAGCACAGTCATGGCGGAAGAAAATGAGTCCTGTTACTTTCCGGACAAACCCTGTACAGTGGTGTAGCACCTGATTCGCTTCTAAATACAGTTTTTAATACAATCCTTCTACTGAGTCGTGACACGTTATGAAAAACTTTATTTAAAAAAGTTTAGTCAGAATTCTCAAATTATTAGGACTATCAGACAACTGAATGGAAGTGTTGACAAATTATTATTCGCATATTGATGAGATGGCTAATTTTTATGTCGTTTGGCTCACTATACCAAGGTACAACTATAAGGTTAGTTGTTCTTGTTATCGGAAGTAAACTTGTCAACCCTTGCATATTTGGGTAAATGGATCCGTGTACTACATGGTTTGTAGTTTCTAATGATTTACCCAATAGTGCAGAAACATGTTTACCCACTTCATCACAAATAACGGTTACCTTCCTTTTAATATTGGTGTTTGAACGGAATCTTTCAGAACTTCCCCTTGTCTGGGATTCGCAGAGCTGCCTCCTTTCTCTGCCGCATGCTTTTCTGCTCTTCCTTGCGACTTAGAGCTGTGATTTGGAGTAGTCTTTTTTGCTATTATATTATATGATGGAAAAAGTTATTTAAGTAAAAATGGTTTCCAGTGGCCAATTTAAGGGGCGAAACACACCGATATATCAAATATCGTTAAAAATATTGAATTTTTGCTTATGTTTTACCTTGTATATTGCACGTCTTCAGACTTGCCTGACAGGTACTTAGGAGCGTCATTATATCATTCCTACTTTCGGGTGTACGAATTAAGTCACATTCTATACAAATTTTTAGCTTTCATCTGCATTAATTTTTAATTTTTGAAATTTGAAAAATATAAAAAATAGAGAAAGCATGGGCTATGACGTGTCAGGTCACTGTTACTGGTTTTACAACCGAAGAATGCGCGAGCTCTCAACCTATCATATTAATTTTATGGTATCTGTGTATCATACTTTTAGGAAGTAGATCCAAAATAAGTCTAATAGTTGTATGATCTTTAATCTAAGCTATTGTAAAAGCTATGATATCTAATTCCTGCTCAATTGCTTTATAAATAGTTTATGATACCCTACGTCCGATGAGTGTCACGGGGTCTTAGGACTTCCAGATTGAATTGAAGAAATGCTACACATTTTATTGACAATGAAGCATCAGAGATGCAAATTTTAATTTTTAAGAATTACGGCATATAGATATCTCTCACTCAGTTTTCCTCGGCGGCTTCGTTGAACACACTCATGGAATCTGCATTCTTCTGTATATTTTTCCACCTAGCGATGTTCTTTGAAAGTTTAATGTAAGCTTTGCTCTTGATCCTTCACGAAAAAGCATCCAGAGGAATCAATTCTCATGATCGTGGTAGCAACACATCATCTCAAACCGAGACATCAGCTGTCGTGGCAAGTGGCTTCCTTTTGCGTCCGTAAATCGTACGCAGAGTGTTGTCTAAGCTAGGGTATACAGTGATTTGGCGAAATTACTCACCCTTATGTCCCGTCCTTACCCTTAAAGTCCTAAACGTCTTGACTTTTGAGATACAGCCCAACTAGCAAATGTATTTTATAATTTTCAACTGTCTGTGCTATTTGGTTTTTAAACTGCGTTATTACCGTTCTTAGAATGCAATTTTGATTTAATATAATTGCCAGTAGGATAAATAAGCTTTAAAGTATTTTGCTTCACAAGGTAGTCGTAAGAATGTTTTTAGAGCAAAAATACAAAACAGTTTTAGAACAAAGTTTAACAATTTTATAAACCTTTACACAACATCTTTATACCACATTTAAGCTTACCTAAGAAATTTGTTTTATAATAGATTTGGGCTCGATTTCACCAAAAAACTGGTGATTATTTTCAATCAATTACATTAAACAGCACACCGTTATAATCTGTGCCACCGTCAAATTGTAGTAATCAATGGCATTTGAAGCATAAAGAATACTGCCGTCATAAGCCAGAACGCAGTAAGTGCCAATAATGCGAAAATGAAGTATGGTCATATGAAAGGCACCCAGAAGAAGCTTATTTTGATGATAAACCACAGTTTATGTCACAGAAACACCGAGAATCTGAAATTTTTGTTTTACAGTATCTAGCATTTTTACGATCATCTTAAAAAAGAACACAGTATCTGCACAACAATAAAACAAAACACAGTAAATGACACGTACTTACTGTATTCTTGCTTAGAAACCATACAGATACTGTGATTTAATTTATGACCAAAGCGCCAATGATGGCTGCCAGTTGCCGCCAATTCGATTTGCACGTGTGGACCTGTGATTCCTTTGAACCTGACCAGTCGCCGGCGCCGTTTAGAATCGGTAGAGAGTGGGTGTGTAAAGATTGTTGATGCATCTTACGATTAACTTTTCAAGTGCTTAAATCAGGTAATGTTCGAGCAAGTTCAACATATGCTTTTGATGATTACTTATAAAACACTTCTTTTAGAGCACCTGTCTAGAGACAAAATGTATAGAGGCAAGAAATTGGCTATAATGGCAAAAGAATATTCTGATGTTGAGAACCAGCGCGAGTGTCCTAGAAAAGTTCAAAATTTAATACCCATGAAGGCTGTAGATACTGTATCTGATGATTTATTTTTAGCAATGCAAATGTGTACAATTCCATTTTTTATTTCCGATTACTCTTTGATGCTGGATGTAACTACATTGAATAGGACCTATATGAATGAGACTGCAAGATTGCGGACATGATTGTTGTAGATGAGAATTTTGATCCTCTGATCGCACCTTCTACGTTACAGTCACAATCTAGTAACGTCGTAATTTTAAAGAACCTAGTTTTTCTAAACGATGACAGCAGCATTGGAATCACACACGGAGCTGAAGAGCCCTTACCGCTACAAGACGTCACATTTACCGGGCAGGAGAACTCGCAACAAACAGAAACTCCACCAGGTATTTTTTATCAGGTACCATTATTATTTTGATAACTTAATACATGACCTATCTTTTGTAGCTTTAACTGAAAAAGGAACAGTAAGAACACGAAAACCTAAGACTGCTACCAAAGATAAGTTGCAACTGAAAATGGAACAAGCTCTACGAAACCGTTACGTTAGACCAGGATGCGGAGACCTATGTAAATTAGAACGTATCAAAAAAATCAACCAAGAAAGAAGAGTCACTTTAAATAATGATTTCTGGAAAATGGATTGGGCATTGCATAAATCTTTCATTTTATCCTACTGTGAGAAGAGGGAAGTTAAAAGGAAAACGATCAAGGGCCCACCTTCGCAACGAACGATGACTAACATATAAATTGCCCGACATACATGGGATAAACCATCAAGTGTGCAAAATATTTTTCCTAACAACACTAGGATATCATAAAAAGAATGATGGTGTTGTTTTTAGAGTGCTTAATAACAAATTGTTGCGCACATTGAATCATTCCACCCAACTGCGTCACATTATAGAAGGGAGCATGCTCCCAACGTAAGATATTTACCAAGTGATGTTACTGTTGCAATTATGCATCAAGATTTCCTGGAAAAATATCCCGCGTTTCAGCTATCATATGATCTTTACAGGAATGTTCTGAAAGAGATGAATGTGTATTTCACAAAGCTAGGGCATGAGCAGTGTGAAGCTTGCGAAACATTCAATAGACACCAGCCTGGTCACAACAGAGATAGCCTAAATGCAGAATGCTATGGAAGCGTCATAATGAAAAGTACCTTTCTGCCAGGAAGCTGTACCAACAGCATGCCCAAACTATTTTTCCACCTGGAGAAATATGTTTATCAGTCGACCTCCAAAAAGTGATTATGCTGCCTAGAATGGAAATGTTCAAAAAAGTACTTTTCACAAAGCGATTAGCCGTATACCATGAAAGCTTCACGTGAAAACATATTCTGCAGTGTGGCATGAAGGAATCATAGGTAGAAATAAGGAAGACGTCATTAGTGCTTACTATGCGTTCTTTCTTTACAACAGAGATGTACAGGTAGTTACTCTGTGGGTAGACAATTGTTCTGCATAAAATAAGAATTGATGCTTTCTTTGCTTCCTTATATATATTGTAAATTCAGATACAACCTCTATCAGCAAAATTATAATAAATTATTTTGAGCCCGGTCATACGTATATGTCAGCAGATAGCTTCCACCAAAAAGTTGAAAAATGTATGAAACAGAAACAGGAAGTGTCAGAATTCAACGATTTTTCAGATGCTGTACGTATGGCAGGAGGAAAAAATGGTTTTGTTAAAGACATGCAACATGCAGCCTTTTACAATTGGATTGACCCCCATTCTGTACAAAAAGTGAAGTCGCAGGTCCATCTATCCGATATTGTGCAGATAGTTGCTGAGAGAGGCAAACTTACTCTCAAGTACAAAAGGTCTTACGAGCAAGATTTTGAGCAACTTGATTTTTTAAAGAAAAGCTCCAAAAAAATTGTGACTGTTCAGCCAGAGGCCATAAAGCAGCCAGCTGGAATAGATAGCCTTACAAGGGATACTATTATTAAAAAGTTGGGTCCACTGATGGCACAAAACAGACTGAACTTTTGGAAGAATGTCCCTATTGAATAAGTAACTAATGTTCAATATTTTTATTTGCTTGGTTTTTATGTTGAATTTGTTTTTTTTTATGTTTTGTTCTGTTTCTATGTTTGCTGTCAATAAATCATCATCATCATACTGTTGACACTAATTTATTCCAACCGAATGTTCCCCCAACCCCCAATAAATATTCAAAATCTGTCATAGTTTAGGTGGCTGCATCTATAACCTAAAACACAGCATGCGTAGTAGATACTATATTGTTACTTATTATTGACACCACATATTTAGCATAACTGTAAGAAAGATCATAGCATGTACATAACATAGTACTTACTGTGTTATTATTTAAAAAGATAACAGCTCTGACAGTTCTGAAATAACAGTATATGCTATTTTTGTTTATAAATAGGCATAATCATCAAAATTAAGGAATTCGTTAGACAATATTATCAATTTTAACCAGATACAAACCAAAAACGTCCTTCTTCCTTAAAACGTTACAATTTGAGAAGGTTTACAACACGTTCTCATCGCTCCTGTAAAATGCGAAAATAGCAGATACTTATGACGGCAGAATAGCTCTCAAACTGTGAGAAGACAGGTTAGCATCAAAATGTTTGAGAACTGATTGATTATCTTGAAAACAATATTAACATGGTTACTTTTACTCAGAATTATTATAAAAAATATGTAATATGCAAGTGGAAACTACAGTTGTATTATTTTGGTGCATAACATCGAGTAATTTTGGCACTTCAGCCTGTTTGACTTGAACAAATGTTTCAAACGACACAGCTTTTTGTTGTTAAAAATATATACATACCTGAGAGCAGAAATTTTATGAACATTCCTACAAATGAACAGATGCCCAATTAAGGATTTTGTGAATCTAACACGTATAATACTATGAGAATGGAGGCGGCTATAAAGGCGTCCTATAATTGTAGGGACGACTGTCGATACGGCACACCGCCTCACATGTCCGTGCGTTCCATTTGTCAAAGTAAAGTGAGGTTTTTCACTTTCTCCCTCGTCCCTGGAGCCTGTGGATCTCGATACATGTTTTACAAAGGTTTTTGATTCACTTGACTGTTGGTTATGTTCATATATATCTTCTGGGGATTTTCAAATTCTGGTTCAAGATTTTTCAGACCTTTGTGTATGTATATCACAGCTTCTTTTGCAATATATATTTTTCTTCTTAACCTTTCCCGAATACCAAATAGACATGATTTCAGCATGCAAAAAACTACTTATTCATCAAGATAGCGCAAAATACTAATAACACACGTTTTACACATATCGGTGTTTTAACAGAGAGGAGAGGGCATACTGTTTTGAATGCTTTGAAGAAATTCATTTACCCATAAGATGATAATAAATTATCACTATTATCATGTCACGGAAGATGAAGATTTTGTTGGAATACATTTTATATTCTATCCTCTTGCAAACAGACAAATCCGCACATTTCAACAGGTATGTAGCCATAATGACAGCATATATACGCTTGGTATGTAGAACTGAGAAAATTTTAAATTGCCTTGCATTAACAGACGTCTAAGCATGCTGTCAAATTTAATAGCTAGAATATCGACCTATTATTTGTCGCAATCCCACTGGATCAGAGATAGATTTCCCTATTATTTGTAAATTGATAAGAAATAGCAAAATAAATGAAAGTTCTGGAGCAGGAAAGACTGCTGCGGACAAAAGCCACAACTCCCCTGTTCTTTCTCAGATTGGAGTGCACCTCGTAGTTTGGGAAGTTAAGATGGTTAAGCGGTGCAGACTCTGAGATTTTTGTCTCCGCCAAGAAAAGCACGGCGGGACGATTGGATTGCAGGTAGTGATGAACAGCATCAATGTTGCTGTTAATCCCGCAGATGTTCGAAAATCAAATTTTATCTCTGATGTTGTTCCCTCGAGCCCACCCTCCACCCGGACATTCCGAGAGTGGAGTGAGTTTACGTCCGGAGTTCTTAGAGCTCGAGGGATCCATCATCATTAATTTCTTTGTTTTGGAGGATAACCGACTGCATAGCTTAGGTGTGGAAACATGCGGACATTTATAAGACACCCTAAAAGGAAAAGGAAAAGCTAGCGGGTGGTACTGCCTCGGTCGACTGGTCCTTGCCTACCACCTTCTTTTTATGTCTTAGTGATGTTAAACAGACCTAAAGTGGCCCGTTGGCGGACTTGTACCGCCACCCGGATCAAAAATAGTAATAACACTTTCAAGGACCTTCATTAACGTGGCAAGACTATTTAGGCAATTTTACAAATTGTAATGTAGAACTATGCCCTCAAAAAACATGTTGTGTGCGCGCTCAATACAATAGTAAACTTTCTCCATAGACGGCGCTGCGTGACTCAGAGATCCTTGATCCACCACTGATCTTGGAACGGCACTTTTCTCCCTACCATATTCAAAGACACTATTAACCGAAAAAACTGCAATTAAGATTCCAGACGTGTTCCATATCAAATAAAAATGAAATATAACAAGTTTTGCAAATGCTCGTATTTTCGTAAATAGGTATATTTGATTCTGACTTAGTATCTAGACGATGGATAATAGGTGAATGAGGATACATTTAGAAATATCGATGTTTTAGGACCCAGGAATACAGGATCTGTGTTTATTTACATTTGTTGTGGATTTCTAGATCATAAATTGGAAATAAATTGTTTTTGAATACATTTTATATTCTATCCTCTTGCAAACAGACAAATCCGCACATTTCAACAGGTATGTAGCCATAATGACAGCATATATACGCTTGGTATGTAGAACTGAGAAAATTTTAAATTGCCTTGCATTAACAGACGTCTAAGCATGCTGTCAAATTTAATAGCTAGAATATCGACCTATTATTTGTCGCAATCCCACTGGATCAGAGATAGATTTCCCTATTATTTGTAAATTGATAAGAAATAGCAAAATAAATGAAAGTTGACATGTTTTCTCTGTAGAAAGGCATCATAATGGAATCAAACAGTGCTCTTGTTTATAATACAATCGATTTTTCACGATTTTATTCAATATTTCAATAGAAATCACTGATATTCAGAGAGCTTTGACAACTTGCCTCAAATTGCATTTCGACAAATTCTTTTCCCATTGGACCAACTGACTGTAAAATCCGCCCTTAGGGTGGAATTCATCAAGATTGTAAAGTCAACAAGCCTCTTTTTTCCACCTAAAGGGCAACAGATTGTCAAATATATCGAATGAGCTTTAAAATCCATTCAACAAATTTTAGCAACCAATAGCTGTGAAATATTGAAAATAAAATAGTCAAAGTATGAGATGACAGCTTGTCGTTGAAACATCTTAAGAACAGGGTTGTGATGTTTTAATCAAAATGTTTAAAACAAGTGTTTTAAACACTGTTTAAAACAATGAAGGTGTTTTAAACCAATTTGTTTAAAACTGCTTAATACATGTTTTAAACATTGTTTTTTTTGTCGTTTGTGAATGATTCAAGTTTTTTTATATTTTTTTTAAGTATGATCAAAATTGATTTTATTTTGCATAACGGAACTAAAAGGGCCATAGGTTAAAACACATAGGTAATAAAAAATATACGTTATTTATTATTAATTAGGTAATCAAACATGAAACTAGGGAACTATTACTAGTGGAAAAATCTAATACTAATAGTACACTACAAGCAGCAGAATAATCATATAATATGATTATGTATTTACTTGTATAATAACATTAAATAAATTACCTAACAAATTTCTATAAAAGTATACAGCCCATCTTATTTAACAAAAAATCAAAAAATCCTTAAATCCATATTTTTAAAATATAAAATCATGGAAAATGTACATCGAATAAATTTTTAGTTCGCACAACTATTTACGGAACTCCAAGTAAAAAAAAGTACCTTTTTCACAATTCTTCAAGGTACTCAACTTTGAGGAAATAGGTTCGGTAGAAGCATCATCATTGTCGGTATCAGAACTATCCGATATATGAATATTTTGTTTTTCTAAGAAACCTCATTGCTTAAGTTGTTTACAATTTTCAATATGCTTGCGCATTCTAGTCACCAATCGCACTATATCCATATTGCAGGTTAAACATTTTGCTTTTTTATTCATTTTCGAGCCAGCTTTGGCATCAGTCTCCTTAAAATATTTCCACACGGGATCTTTTCTCCTCCCTGTCATTGCCTTTCTTTATTTGCCGATGTTTAATGCACAAAAAAATAAAACACACCACCACGCTACGACTTCGCACATTTGACTGGTGGAGATCGCAACGCGAAAAATTACCCAAGGGCAAACGGTACTTCCCCGGCGTCCGTACGGTAGTTTCCCGACGTCTGCTTTTAAATTAGAGATGTGCTCTGAAATAGCTGGATTTTTTTTTATATCGAAGCAGCCGCGCAGGCAGAAGCCCAAATGCCGGAAAACCGCGGCTGCTATGATGATCCCAAAGAAATTTTATTAATACGATTTTTGAACTGCCTAAGGTAAATAGAACTGGGAAAAGCCTCCTCTTGTAGATTATTCCACAATCTCGACACCCTCGGGACAAAGGAGCGGTCGTATCGGCCGGTTCTGGATGTACGAAGTTCGACACGGTTAGGATGGGACGCCAAAGTTAGGCGGGTCTGTCTGGCAGGCACATCGCGCGACGGCATCATGGAAGAGAGCTCCGAGGAGCAAAGCCCGTTGGTGTAACGGTAGAAAAGAGCCAGATCGCCGACAGCCCGCCGGTGCGAATGAGTCCCGAGACTGTCTGTAAGAGAAGAGTCATAGATCAGTCGGACCGCCTTCCTCTGGACAGCATCGAGCGTGGATAATGTAGTCGGGGCGGCAGCACCCCAAACGTGCGAGCAATACTCGAGGCTAGGCCTTATCTGGGCCTTGTATAGAATGAGAAGGTCATGCAGAGAAAAGTACTTCTTAGCCCTAAACAAATAGCCTAGCTTTTTTCCAGCAGCTGCAGCTATTGACGAGATGTGTTCGTGCCAGATCAGGTCCTCGGTGATCTGGACTCCGACCAG